TAGTTTTAGGTAGGCATTAGATTGTTGTTTACATTTCAATCTTTTTATTCAACAAGAATTATTAGAGACGGTGCTTACTAATTTAGGGCAATATCTTATTTGTTGTATGGAAACCAAGTATTGGCTAGAGAAATTCGGGAGCAAATTAGGAATTACGTTATTGCGATCATTTTGTCGTTTATTTACAAAATAAAACACAAACTGTAATTTGCCCTATTTGTTCTAGTTTCATTTGTGAGTCTGTTTATTTATTTGTCCGATTGACCGACTAACTGTTTTTATTCAGATTAGTGTCTTTCTAAATATTCGCGACAGTTTAATTCCACGTTTCCACGCGAACGAAGTCGCGGGCACAGCTAGTATACAATATAGACCATAACGTTACTAAGTAAGCACCTTAAAGTGCCACTAAGTAGTGGCTACTCTTAAAATTAAATAAAATTACGTAAGCATTTTCATGTGGTTGTTACTGAGCTTAGTATTGCAATAAAAACTTTTATACTACCGTAATTCCGATCCGTTGGACTATGTTTAACCCTTAAAATATTATAGCTAACCACTAACTTCAATGTTGCTGGCATGCAGCATCATCTCTACGGTAAAATAAAACTATTTTCTCATTTCTTAATGTTGAAATACAATAGATTCCGAACAGTTATAGTCGTTATAGCCATTCATTTTTGCTTTTGACTTTAATCCGGACAATCGTTTCTGTTTCTTTTATTGAATGTGCGTGACGAGCTCACAGTCAACCTATTGGTATGTGTGACCCATAGACATATACTGTATTATATACCTGTAGGTTGTATAATCATAAACATTTATAATCGATTATTAACTTCAAAATGCAGATACGTGACTAATACGGAACGTCGCGCTGCCAGTAAAAATCTCTGGCTATCTACACTTACCACACGAAACTCAGAAGCATCACGATGTTATTTTACACTGGCATTCTGTAAAATACTGGTCCTATTCATGCACCACCATAACATAACTGCAGCGTGGCGCTACCTCGTATGACCCAACATGTAATTGGTATTTCAACTAATATATGCTGGTACTATAATGAATCGGTAGCAAAAGAAGTACAAATATGTATGAAGTATTTATATGGTCTACTTTACTTACATACAATAAGCTATTAAACTGACTTTATACGTTGGATGTGACATTTAATGCGGATAAAGATATTAAGTGTGCAGGTCAACGACTTATCATGAATCAGAAGCGAGCCTCGTGCCGAGTGCTGAAGCAAAATAATATAGTAGTACGTAGTTCATACATACAAGGTTTTTTTTGTACTTTCATGATGAAATATTGCCATCCTTGGTGGGCGGTTTCGCAACCGCAGTTTTTTTAAATTTTAGTTGTTATCAGAAAACTGTTTATTTCCCTTTATTTTCCTGTTTCAGTTCCCCTCTGTCACCTCACCTTTTACGACTCCCACGGGACCATATGGGTTAGGATATTATTACACCGTCACTACCGGGTTGGTGTAACCCTTATAATATCAAAATATAAAAAAAATTGAAGATGTAGCACATAATTTCATTTTTATTTTATAATAATGTGCTACAGCGGCGTACACATAATAATATGTGCAGCACAATGCATAATAAAATACGCATGTCTATGTATTGCATCGTATAAGATTTTATAACTGCATAAAAAATTAGATAGACTGAAAACAGCAAAAACCTTTAAACTCCTTTGCGCATATATCGCAGAATTTTATTAGCGTCATTTTGTTTAGCAGCAAAAAATAAAATACTAAAGATGTAAGATACGTACGATGCCAACTTGCACTTTATGTTTGAATTATCGATGCCGATAAAAAGTTTAAAGCTCTGCGATAATAAAGCGCCTTGTTTCATCTCTAGCTATAAATGACCAGATAGAGGCTCAATGGCTGCCTTGTAGTCAGAATTGCCTACTTTATGAATTAAACAGGCAGTAAAACGACTTAATCGTTAAACGGTTTTCAAGATAGTATCACTAAACACATTCAAACTATTTGTGAATTCTTAGAGATTTATATTGTTCGCTCCGTACTTAAATCTAATATATAACATTCCATAAATATAACCATTATATATATCATAAATCGTATTTTTGTAATAACTTACTCAATCTTTCAAAAAGCATTGTGGATACAGATACCTCTTCAATATTTTAATGTATATTCGTATAACCAACTTAGCATAGTTTACTAGTTTCCCATTAAGTTCAGTTTTGTAATTTTGTGCGAGACTAGTTTGAAGCTCAGTATTTTTTTACCAATACAAAACCATAATATTTTCTAAAATCAGCTTTCATTCCACTGATAGACGTTTTTTACGGAATAGCAGATGTGGTTTTGAGCTGGGGATTTCTCCTGGTTGATCTGATTCTGTTGGAAATGACAATTTCTCTTTCATCATCGTCGTCGTCACCGTTGTTGTCGTCGTCGTCGTCGTCTTTATTATTATTAGCCCTTCGAAGTTCCAGTGTGGTGAGATAATTTATTCAAGGTTAACTTTCTAAATATTTTTTGCCATAACAGACTTAAATGGAATTCCATGCGTCAACTAGATGTAATCAAAATACTTTATTATTTTATTGTTGAGATAAAATTAATGACAATATTCTTTTATCACAAACAAAGGGAAAATATAATAATAATTATTATTATATTTTCCCTTCGTTTTTTTATATTTATTAATAAATATACAAACTAAAATATAAAAAATATAGTGAAGTATTAAAAAAGAAAAATATGGTCAAAGTAGAAAATGTAGATATAGAAAAATGTAGAAAGTTTCATGTTTAATTCATGTCAGAAGTACATGACTTTTTGTTGACGCGCAGTGAAGCGAGCATGCTGATCATTTAGTCCCGCGTAAAGATACCAGGACGAGCCGAAATCAGTTATTGGGTTATACTGTCAGTCATATGTTGGTTTGGGACTTTCTTCATGGTTATGTGGGACTTATAACAAAAAAAAGCATTTTTGTTATACAAAAACTGTTACTTGCCTAGCATGTCGTACCAGACTACGGGATACCAAGTTTGAGATTTTGTAGGCGTTGGGCTAGTCACCTATCACTTCTTTTCACAATTTTCTATCTAAACCCATAATTTTTGAACTTAACGAGTTTCGAGTAGCTAATTGCTCTTTGGCTTCTGCCTATATCCTGAAACATAACAGACGTGATGATATGTTCTGGCAAGCAATTCTTATTTGCAGTTCGGAGTCAGGAAGTCACACCCCGCGACTTGGAAATCGTGTTAATCCGTTGTTCCTGCGGCTGATCTCCTCGTGTCGAATTTCCATCACATCGGACTATGAGAGTGAGTGACTTGTACTTCGCCGATGCCTCGTCTCCGTTGAGACTGGCCTGGAAATTCGGTCTGAAGGACATGATATACATAAATGAAGGACTTTTATTACATTCGATTAAAATAGCATGTACCCCTACATCTCAGAACCGCACATGCCAGCTAAGCCGTTAATATCTTAGACAATAAAGTCATAGCGACAAATAATGTTTCCAATATCTTTTAATGCTCCATGCTCTCGTTCCTCTCTTGTTTTTCAAATCTACTTTGCAGATTAATATCGCTTTGCGTGAATATTTTGTATAAATTATTATTAAGATGTGTATGGCCTAACAATAACTTTTGATTTTTGCAGCATGGATTACTCTCATTTTCAGGTTAAATATTTGCTTGGCTGGGTCATGTTTTCAGTGACATTTACAAGCCTAAATTTCTGAAAGTTTAGGGCTCCTCGTAGTCCGTCTAGATAGATCCTACCTTCACTTCAGCTACGCAACATTTCACCCAACGTGCCGACTTCAAAGATATAAAGAGCATGTATAATTTCAGGCTAAAAGTTATTTCACCTGCATTCTCGAGACCTTTGTGACGACAACGTTATTTTAAGTAGCTTACAATATCAAATGTCAATGTTCTGCTGTCGCCAGTTGTGATCAAATATATTTTCTTTCTTTTATTGCTTTCATGACATGATAATTATGTGTAATATATTTTAATAAAATAAAATAAATATTTTAGTGTTAAATTCTTAACGAAAATTTTAACACATAAAATTACACGCATATATATATATTTCCTTTCGAAGGCTCAGTAAGCGGAGCTTAAATTACTTTGATATTTGTTTTTAAAAGTCTATTAAAATATTTATTGTTCTATCACAAGCGCGAAGAATGTACGAAATAAAACACGTTAGCCTCTTCTACTTAAAAGTACTTCTAAAAGATACTCGCACTTGTATTTGTTTTATACATTTATGAGCGTTTTATGCCTTACCTAATGTATTATGAAGGCAATTTCATGCTCGGTTTTATATTCATAAACGATATTTTATTGTATGTGAAATCACAAAGGTCATCCGCTTGCCAAGCGTGGCAACTATGGCAAATATCCCCCCTATGGGGTAATCTATGGGGGAGGCCTATGTTCAGCAGTAGACTTTAATAGACTGTAACGGTAATAGAATATTAAATCTCATCATTAAAAAAAACTGTTTAATTTTAAAATATGAACGATTCTATAACAATCAATTATGAAAATATTTTTTGTGAAAATGTTTTGTTATGTTATTGATTTATTAAATAATATTTTAATATCATTAAATAATATTTTCAAATATAATATCTTCCTTTTAGTGCTCCGATGTTAATAAAGATACGTGTAGGATTTACAATTACGAATTACAAAATCAAAATCGTATGATGCTGTTTGGGAATTCTCTTGCTTGACATTTCCAAGTCCCTTGAGATTTGCCCAACGTGTAGAGACTCCAAGGATTTGTGTAATCTCATTGGAAGCAGCTATTGGCTTCGCTTTGCTTACATTAACTGGTGACATGACTTGTATTCATTATCAATTGAACAGTAGCTATAAATTTAAACCGTGTCTTTTGTTTGCTTATCTACCTAATAAGAGAATTGGTGTTGGATTTTAAATTTTTCATATTCTTCTATTCGTAACAGTTGACGGCTGGATGGATCCTTTTTCGCAATACCAGATATCTGGCTTCTTTGAGTTCTTAGATTAAAAGATTAATTTTTACTTTAAGGAATGATTTTAACATTAAGCGTACTACTAAAGGGTCCCTTTATAACTAACTTCAACTACTCCTAAAATAATCGAATTTAAGTAATAATAATCTTTATATACAAAAATCAATTTTCGTCCGTTAGTCTCGCTGAAACTCAAAAACGGCTCTACCGATTTTAATGAATTATTTTGTGTGTGTTTAAATGGGTTGCTAGATGATTTAGGTTCACATTGGGACCCAGTAGGTGGCCCTATTGTCGAGACCCAGAAAATGCGCTTGCTAGTGTAATACAATAATGCTCATTTCTCCTCACAAAAACAAACCATACATAATAAAACTTACCTACATCTATTTAAATACTTGTATGTTTATACTCATAGTCTAGAATATGTAAGCAGCTGATGTCTGAGTCAGGCAATAAAATGCCTGTATTACAAATCACTAAGTCCCCACACACTGAAATAAACAATTGGTTATTAATTGAATGTTACAGATATATAAGTCCGCCCTTCGTACCCTTAAATATCTGGTTTTTATCAAAATGAGGATGGCATACAAAAGAATATTTGACAGTAGGACAAAATAAACTTGTTTTTACTGATCACAATAATATGAGAACAGTCAAGTTCAAATTTATTATTTAACTTTAAATCATACAGTACATTTTTAGAAATAAAATTATTCTAACAAGAGAGAGCGTAACATCTCGTAATTATGTAGCAAAGCGCCTTTTTATCTCAGTAACTTTTGACGGTTAAATTATTTTGGCTTAGTGAAATTTTTGAATAATATTGTCCGTCTTCTCCAGCTGACACATGAACTTAATTACGACTTGATATTAGGCTTGTGAAGTACGCAACTATTACCTCTAGGCCATAGTATCCTGTTACCGTGCGCTCGCTTGCTGTATTTACTTGGTTAAATATATCACTACTTACTACAATTATTTTCATTCTTATTCTTCGTGTAGTGATAGCGAAAGAGAACCCATTCCTTGTCATCCCGTGGGTGCTGGTGCCGCTGCGGCCGCCATCTCGATACGATATTCTCCATTGTGGCAACTATGGAATATATGTGTAATATATATATAAAGTATATATAAAATAATAAACCTATATAAGTATAGCTTTTATATGTTTAATATTGACATTCATATATATAAAAATTCATGATTAGATATATACTCCATATATAAATAGTAAAAAAACTCCAATGGGTTTTTCAACAAGAACTTTGTTTTTCAATTGGGGCAACACCAACAACATGACAGTTTTGACATTTAGTTTTTTGACCTATTCGTAGTAGATGCTTTGGCAATTGCTACAATGAATACAATTTCGCTCGACATTAAAATCCATTATGAAAATTGGTTCTGTTAAAGTTTTTCTAAAATTCGTGATATTTTCGGACAACATAATCATCCTTCTGAGACCGCTATTAAGAATTTGGTCGCTAAATTTGAATCGACAGGCTACAAAATGTGCCAACACCAACGCCTGTTCGACCGGGTCGTTCAACCGAAAACATCGCAGCCGTGAGCCACAGTGTTGAAGAAGATCCAAATTTGTCAATTCCTCGACGTTCTCAACAATTGGGGTTATCCAAAACCATCACATGGCGAATTTTGCGTAAGGATTTGGCTTTAAAGCCTGACAAGGTTCAACTGGTGCAGGAATTGAAGCTGACCGACCATTCACATCGCCGTAGATTCGCTCAATTCATTCAGGAACAGCCCGCTGGTTTTTCTGAAAAAATCATTTTTTCAGACGAAGCCCATTTTCACTTGTCAGGGTACGTCAACAAGCAAAATTGCCGCATTTGGGCTTCTGGAAATCCTAAAGCGATTATTGAGAAGCCTTTGCATGCTCAACGTGTCACTGTATGGTGCGCTGTGTGGTCTGGAGGCGTGATTGGGCAGTTTTTTTTGGAAGATGAGGCTGGAAATGCGATAACGGTCAATGAATTACGCTATCGCGAGGTGTTAACATCTCAATTTTGGCCTACTATTGATAACATCGATATTACAAACATGTGGTTTCAACAGGACGGTGCCACATGTCACACAGCCAACGAAACGATCAATTTATTGCAAACCAAATTTCCCCACGAAATTCAGCTGTTAAATGGCCAGCCAGATCGTGTGATTTAACACCACTGGATTATTTTTTGTGGACTAAGTTAAGGACAGAGTCTATACGGAGCCAATCGAATCGATCGCGGCCTTAAAACTCAAAATCCGTGACGTGACTAACGAAATAGACCCGCTATTTTGCCAAAAAGTGAGTGAACTTTGATGAAAGGATCGACATCTGTCAGCGTGGTCGTGGTGTACATTTGCCAGATATCATTTTTCATTCATAATTGCCAAACTTTTCTCTTCGTAATACAATAAAAATTTGAATCATCTTCATCTAAACTCTTTGTTTTATTTTGTTTTAGAAAACAAAGTTCTTGTTGAAAAACCCTTTATATATGTATATATATAATATATATATATATATATATATATATATATATATATATAGAAAGGAATCTGTAGCCATTTAGACGTGTTCAACGAGCAGTCTGTCTCAGCAGAGGGTGATGTACCCTCCTAGGGTAGATTTTTGATTTGTTGATTTTTACTACGTTTCGGATGTAATTAATAGAAAAAGTACTGCGGAAAACAGATTAATTAGTGTTCACATTAACATAGAACGCTGACCTAACATATCCGTCACTAAAGTAATTTTATGTTCGTACATATTTTGTCCTGGAATAGATTTTTTATCAATGTAATTATTACATAATGTCTATTTAAAGTCCTTTTTAGAGCTCCGTATCTCAAAAGAAAAAAACCCGGCAAGTGCATGTCGAGATACGCACATCGTAGAGATAGGATTCCGTAGATGCCCGTCACAATACGTGGACTTAAGGGGAAATATAATGTCAAATGGCTTAGCAAGATCCTTCGTTATGCCGAAAATATTGCAGCATTAATTTCGAACTAAATATATGGTAAAGTTGAGGATTAATGTTAATGATTATGTTAGACGAAAAAACGAAATTTTCTCGGTAGAAAAAAAATCGAAAGTTACCTCCAAAATAAACAATAAACCGCTGTTATTCATAAAATACTTTAAATAAGATCATGAAACTTTGCATACTAACTGAACTAACTATAAAGCAGTGCTTATGTTATTTACTTTTTTTTAAATACCATTATTTTCACTGTAAAAAGAAATTACCTAAACTATCGGCCTCTTGAAGCGTGATTTCTGCCGCACGGTCCTTCATGCTAGTATCCGCTTAGTAGTCTGTGGTAGGCATGTCGATTCACTCTTACAAAATCGATCTCTGAATCGATTTGAATCGAAAACACTAGAATCGATTATCGATTAAATCGAGGATTAAAAGATCGATTTTCGATTAATCGCGACATTTTCAAACATGAAATTTCAAGAATTTGCGATTTTTTCTTTAATTGAACTTTAATATTTTTTTAAATAAAATATTAGTAATCTTAATAATTAACATTATTAATATTCCTTTTAACCACTCCTGGTAAGCTTGAAACGCTTGTATTAGTAGTGGTTTGCACATAAGCCACTCGATCCTTTTTTTACAAAGTGTTCCATGTATCACTTTTATTTGAAATTTTAGGCTAGAATCAACAACAATACTTTAACAAAAGTTCAAATTGCAACGTACATTTCTTGATAAATCTGTTTCAATCTAATAACTCACTATTTATCAAATTGAAGTGAATGCTACACGAACACAATACTGGTTATTTCCTTACTATAAACCTCTATAAACTTCAACATATGATATTTATTTACAGTATATAGGTATTTAAAAAGTACTCTGTCTGTACTAAGTACTAAGTAGTAGTAAGTAAAGTACTAAGTTAGACCAACATTCCACAGGTAAGATTAGAATTAGAATTTTAGAAATGAAAATGAAATGACAACTTTTCGATATTGTTGCATGCGTTCATAAATATTTATTTTATTGAAATATATATTGAGTTCAAATTATCAACCAAGTACGACCGTTTGTTAGTAGCAAAAAATTAAAAAACTGCGGTATCTGACCCAGCCAGTTTGGGAATTTTATTGCTAGTTCTTGAATCAGATGAATCAGTCCGATTCGAGAGGTTTTTGCATCGATTCAGTGAATCGATTCGGTGCTCGGAATCGATCTAAAAGATCGATTATTTTACGCCAAAGAATCGATTTTTCGATTAATCGATTTAAGATAGACATGCCATGCCTAGTCTGTGGTGACTTCACTTCGGCCTTTGAAGGGTGATTTATATCTATAACCATGCCAAATTACAGCTTTGTAGCCTCTAGGGTCTCTGAGTAAAACCGCGGACGGATGAAAATGGCGAAGCTATAAGGGCTTACTGTTGTTTAACTACGGAACCCCAAAAACAGAATCCTCTTATCACTTTATTGATCGTCCTTATGAATAATAGTATTATCTAGACTTGCGTAGGTTTACTAAGGATTAAATTTGTCAAAATTTGTCGATTTTCACAACCGCGCGACGTTGCCGTTCCGTGCAACAAGCAATGAACACTTCACAGGATAATACTCTAAAATAGTAGTAGTTTTGGCGGCCGAAGTGTTTTTCGCTGATAGCGCGAAAACCGTAGAACCTAGGATTTTGATCTATTTGGAGCATAGTTCTCTCATTCTAAGCTACGATTTGAGATATTTTTGACGACTCTCCGTTCAGTAGTTTCCACGCTCCAAATGGGCTTGCTGACGGGACGCGACGCCAGCAAGCACGTTTTCAAAGGCCTGTAACTCGAGAACTATTGAAGCTACATTAATATTTTTTTTTGGAGCAGAGTGCTTCAAATAGGGCTCATCTGTAGAGTTTTTAATCATAATCCAAATCATTACCGTTTCAGAGATCTGCGTGGGCTTGCTGGCGTCCTGTCCCACCGGTTAATCACGTCTAACTCCTTTCACATTCTAGTTTCGAAGTTGATTTCACGGGAGCAG